TCTAACCATCTCATCCTCTGCCGTCCTCTTCTCCTTTTGCCTTCAATGTAGTCCTTGCTTAATTACCACAATAGGGACTGGAAAATTGGTCATTAAGTGGGCAGTCATTAAGCAAGTCACCATGTGACTGGATCCGATTTACAACCATTTTTATGATGTTCATTAAGAAAATCATGTGGTTGTTAAGTGAATCATGTGGTCGTTAAACAAATCCAGCTTCTCCAATGGACTTTTTTGCTGGAATTCACTTAACAACCATGTGATTTGCTTAACGACTGCAGTGATTTGTTTAACGACTGTCGTAAAAAAGGTCACATGATCATGTGACCACAGGGAATGGTGCGACAGTTTATAACGGTTATAAGTACGAGTATAGGTTGTAAAGCACTTTTTCTGAGGCTGTCGTAACTTCAAACCATCATTAAACAAGCAGTTGTTAAGCGAGGACTACCTGTATAGCCTATATCAATATAGTTTCAGCTAGAATTGGGGAATCTACCTCTTGGCCTGGTCTACCTCGAAGGGCTGACAGTATGGCATGATATTTGCATGTACATTCTAGACATGGTATCAGAGAAGGCTGTATGGAAGAGCAGATCCAGTTAATACTATGGCTCTGAAAAAGGAATTATTATGATTAATTTTAATCTTTTGAAAATAACACTGTTGATAAATCTGAAGCTCAACTCTATGGTTGTCTTGTACATCCAAGTTTTTACTTGATTTACCTTACTTAGGGAAATTAAAAAGTTCTGGATTGAAGGCAACAAAATTAAATTCCTCAATAAATGGGAAGATAATTGGGTGATAAGTGGGAGGATAAATTTGTCCAATTTATATGCCTTCCCTAAAAATAATGCAAAACCTTTTTCCTAGCTCTTTTCTATATTCTATGGATAATAGTATTTCAGATTGACAAACAATATAGAAATACATGACACCAGTAGTGCAGTCCTTTAAGTACCCTTATTAAGAAGTAATTTCCACTGAGTTCAGTGAAGTAATTTATTTCCCACTGCACCCAGCGTGTTTTTGTTCATAGTCCATATTACTTTACCATACAATCTTTATAGAAATGTCTGTGAGTCCATCGAGACAGTGATATGTACTTAATGGGTTCCACTTCTATCTTTTCCACATAAAAGAGATCATGTATACTTAATCTCTCCTGTGTGCATCTTTCATCAAGAACCAGATGTGTGCACAAAATGGGGGAAGTGGGTTGTTTCAAACATGGAATAAACCATCATGTTCCAGAAGTTGTAGCAAAGAGTTTGGACCAACTATGATTTGGTAGAACTGAAACCAGAATGTTTTGACTGTTCTGATTTGGGGACAAAACAAAATCTGAAGGGGCAAGCACGGGAAAGCTGATACATGCCACCCCTCAGCCACTCTCAGCATTAAACATGTAATTTATGGGACTCAAGTTTTGATGAGTTAAGAGCTCCAGCTTGTGGAAATGTCCCTCTTTCCTCAAGATAACCCACTGTGTCCTATCCCATATTATTCAGGAGTAGCCCATGTCTTCCAAAGGCTTCTCAGGAGCAGGCCAGGGGGTGGGAAGCTTTTTACTGATTACTTTATTTAAGATCAAAGCCAAAGGCTGGGAATGTTTCCTAGGCCTTAGTAATGTTCCAAGGATGCTAAGGCTTCTTTAAATAAATGACTTTGCTCAGTGCTTGCAAACTTTACCAAGTCTTTACCATGCTTAGTTTAACTTAGGAAGTTTACACAGACATAGCCAGCCAAAGGGTTTTTGTATCACATTTCTTGTATTCCTGTAGGGAGGTGCACTTCTTGGTGGTGCCAATGCACTCCACACTTCATTTCCTGAAAATCCAGGGGAGCAATACAAAATACAGTGTCAACTAATCTTGAAGAAGCTGGAGCTGCAGCACCTTCTGCAGGAGGAATTAAAAAGGCTTGACAGGTGCTAAATATTTACATTTGGGAGAAAAAAATCAACTTTAAATCAGATTACATGTGCTGCTATAACAAACTGTGATGTGATGATTATTAATATTTTCCTTGTTGTAAGCCATGTTCTTGAAGGCATATGAGTACAAATAATTAACAATATTTATTTATTTACTGTATATGCAAAACCAATATCAAGAACTAGGGTTGCAGTTCTAAACACACGAGAGGAAAAATTCCATTAAGGCTACTTCAATTTATTCTAAATAAATAAACATAGAATTCTACTGTATAAGAATGATTTGCTTGTGGAATTAGCAAACATTCTAGTCTGTTTTAACTCAAATGCCTAAAGTCATGTACTGTAGTTACTAATTTTTGCACCCTTGAAATCCATCAGCTTCTATAATTCAGAGCTTCTAAAAATGCAAAAATTTGGCAAAATGTATTTTTCTTTTAATTCTCTAGATTACAGAATGGAAATTCAGGCCCGTCTCTGCAGTGCAAGGAAGCATCTTTAGATAATCACACATTTGGGAAATTGGAGCAGAGGATTCATTCCCAGCATTCAGACAACAAGGAAAATAATAGTCATTTGCAACCTTTGTCATCCAAAATAACTCCTGAGGCTGATACGCATCTGGGATTCTCAACCAGACAAGTATCTGATGATGCCCAAGCAAGAGAGAAATTGAACAGCCTTCATGAGAACAGCTATGATAACACCTTGAACTGGTTTGATAGTATAGCAGAAGGTAATATGGAAACTGAGAAGGTCACTTGTAATTTTCCAGTTGCAGTAACATCTCAGGACAGTCTGGCTTTGGAAGCAACAAGTAGTGGATCTTCTAAAGAGACCAACTGTTTAAGAGAAGTTGAGCAAGCCAAGAAGAGGGAATCACTGACAAAAAAAGATCAGGGGACTTCTTGTATACAGGCTAGTTTGGCCCTTGAGAGGACAGAAAAGCCTATAAACTCCCCTTCAGGAGCAAGATACAAGGGTCCAAATGCTACACCTAGCACACCTGATCCAGTCATTACTCAAAGGGCCTCTAAGAAGTGGCGGAAGATGAATATTGAAAGGATCCAGGGGTTTTGTGCAAGTATAGCAGATTCCAAGGCTTCTCATCCTATAATTGTCCCACATTGTCCTATAAAAGACACAAATGCTTCCCTGTCTCACAATGTGCCTTCAAGGCATTTGACATCAACAACTTTAAACCGGAAGCGAAATAGAGACCAAACAAACAAAGGAAGAAGTTGCAATGAACGTGAGGTCCTTGAGAACTCAGAAGCTGCTCCTGCTAAGCTCGCTAAATTTTCCTTTCAACAAAAGCCTAAGCTTGCTCTTTCTCCTCAAAATGAGGTACATCACAAATTACCTGAGACTATTTTCAGCCCTGATTCTTTTACACAAAATACATCAAAAGAAGAAAGACTGAGGAAAGAAGATCTTGACAAATACCAGGAAAGCCACAGTCTTAACCCAGGAAATAAGTGCAAGGAAAAACAAGCCTGTAAAAACAAGAAAGAGGAAGACAAGCCAAAGCCAAATAAAGCCATTCCTTTCATAAATAAGACAGGGACAAGAATAGAAACACCGGATAGTCGAGGCTCAAGAAAAGTGTGCCCGAGTACTTTAGCAAAGTTAGCAAAATTTGCCTTTACGCCATCGGATGAATCTCCAGTTTCCTTGAATATCGCCAGTAATGATGAGGTGAGAGAAAGGCAGCCATTGAGGACCCAGAAAGATTGCGCAGAACGCACCCGGAAGTGCTTTGAATTAGGAAAGGCCAACAGAGTTACAGGGAAATCGTTGTTCTCAGTAACTGATTTGGATGATGCAGTGTTAGACTTTGACTGGGATGAAGAGATTCAGAAAAATGCTAAATCTTAAAGTTTAAGGTCTGCTACCTTCTCAAAAATATATTGTGTTACTTTTATAATTGGTTTAATTTTTGATATGGGAATAATGCTGCAACTAATAAGCAACCTCACAGACTCTTTAAAAATTGAATCAGGTTCTAAAAAGAGCACGCTTCTACATATCAGCTAAAACCTGGTGCTGTTGGAGTGTTGTGCTCAAAGTGAAATAAACTTAGTGCTCTCTTGGAAGGCTCCAAGTCATCTAGGTGCAGACAGCAGGCTTGAAAAATAAATCTCTTCCTGGTTTTTCTCTTCACTGAGATGTAGTCTAAAGCTCTGCAGTATTGGGGAATGTGGTAGTGGATTGGGAGTCTCTCTCTTGTTAATGTCTGTTTAAGCATATGCACCTGATGGGCACATTATGTCAAATTGTTGGGTTATGATGTCACATTCTTGCATCATTGTGTGTCATGACTTGTACGGTATCACTTGCCCTCCTTCCTGCAGAAGTCCTATGATATTAAGATCTTTCCAACTGTGAGCTCCAGATTTTGGGAGGACATCCTTCAGAGGCTGGAGTTTATGGTGGGTTGGGGGTGTTTGTCCATGATCAGGACATTGTCTAGAGTTGACAGAGGAGAGGCATAAAACTGCAGCCTTAAGGAAGTGAAGTTTGCAGAACTAGTATGGATAAGCAGTTTGAAATGCAGTGAGCGAGACACTGTTTTACTTGGATTTTTCCCTAAGGTACATAAATCCATTGACTCTTCAGTTAGCATATTTGGGTGAAATTGTGAGAGGAAGAATCACTAGTAAAGAAGCATGTTAAGTTTTTTTCATTACTTTAGTTTTCTTCTTAGCATCCTGAAGAAATGTGTGATTCTATCAGGTTTTCAATTATTTGTTATTCAGATAAAATGAACTTCCAAATCCTTGAAAAGTGGTAGTATGTGTATGTGGGGTGGTCCTCCCCTCTTCCTTTTAACATTTGGCTTTACTGTCTAGCTGCATTGCAGTGATCTATGACTTTTATTAATTCACTAGATATTATTTGGTAACAGATAGCATTTATTATGTTTGGTTCAGGAAGGAGCTTCCTTTCTTTGTTCAATTGGACAGTTAAGGCTGCTAAAGTTTGTAAGCCAGTGTAGCTATTTAAATGATTGAATCGGTAATTTACTTCAATTAAATGTATGATTATCACTGCTTTCCTCCAATAAAATGTCAGCTAATACCTCTCCTCGGTCCAGTTACTTAGAAAATACTGTGTTGTATTTGTATGAGAAATTTAGTACCATGCTTTGCTTTTCAGAGGATGTATAAAAATGCTATCGGGCTTCCTCTCCCCAGTTCAATAATCCAGTGAAATTCTAGTAAATGCTGTGATTGTATATTGGAAAAATCATATGTGATAGCATCTGCTTTTGCTTTCCTTGTATTGTGTAGGATCTATCCTGAAATTTCTGGTGGTTTTGTGAAATTTAATGTTGAAGACTGATCTCTTACTGATTTAGGCACAAGTTAAGGTGTCAGTGTCACAGTCTCATTCTTAAACCCCTTGTCTGCACAAGGCCTTTGAGTACAGATGGATCACCTACAAATAGAGAACGTTTCAGGGTCATCCTGAAATGTGAAAAGTTATACTGCTAAGGGAATTAATAAAACATCAAGCAAATCTCCCAAGTGATGTTGAAGAGTATTGGGTATTGGAGAGAAAGCATGTATTGATGAAAGTTTAGGTGTTAAATGTTCATAATTTAACTCACTAATTCCATTAATAATAAATCTAGCACTTTTATCCACTGGATACTAATATTAGCTGTATTATAAATTGTCAGAACTTCCAGTTATTTATGAGAATTGCAGAAACTCTGTTCGAATGATGCTGTTTTTTTCTTTATGGGAATTCGTGCATTCAGTATATCAAGGAAGTCCTTACATTTTTTTCCATTGACTTTTTCTGCCCTCTTCTGCCCTGGAATTTTGTTTTATGCATCTTTGTGCACATTGGTGGAGATTTAAGTAATAGTAAATACTTAATATTGACTTTTGCTCATTATTCAGCTACTGATGGCAAGTTTGTATCTCTAGAAAATCTTTTTTCTTATAGTGGAATTCTTCAGTCTCTGGTAACACAATCTCATGATTCTCAGGTAGCATATCCCTCCTTTGCATTAGAGAGAAAGGTCTGGCCAAGAAGATCTTTCCTCAGTGTGTGCACAGCAGTCCACCTCTGTAGTTACCCTGCGATTAGAAAGAACTCAGAAGTGTGGCTTCTCCACTGCAGCTTCTGCGCTATGGAACATGCTCTCCCCTGAGATCCAACAGGCTCCCACCCTTTTAACCTTCAGGAGAGGGCTTAAGATCTGGCTCTTCCCCTAAGCTTTGGATAGGATGTGGTCAGAGTGGGATGAGAATGTAGTGAGTGGCATCAAGGAAGTGTGGTTGTGGCGCTAGGTTTTTCTGTTTTGGCTTTACTGGTTCTTATGTTTTTATTTATTGTGTTTTTATTGTTGTATATATTGGTTTATTTTGGGGCTGTAAGCCACCCAGCGTTTGGCTTCAAGAACAGCAGTTATGCAAACATTATAAACAAACAAACAAATAAATAAAAGGAGCCATTCCAGCATAGATGTTTGCAGAGAACAAGGGAAGGAAGAGGCAAAATGTGTTGCAATATCATGATGCAAACTCTGTCCCCATGTGCTTGTGTACAGTCTTGCAATGCAAGTATGAAAGGGCAGAATTCATGTCATGACTTACCAACACATGGTTTGACTTTTGGCATGATTGTGGTTAGGAACCAATGTCTATGGGTTCTGGATGTGTGTTGTGATTAGATCAGGCAAAACAGGTTCTGCCAGCTCCAGAGTCCCATTGGTACCTAGAAACACACCCTTCACAATTATTTTCTGACCCCTGGAAACAATGGATGGAAGATTCACCAGACAGTGAAAGTAGAAGACACCATTCTAGCTATCATTCAGAAGGGCATTGCATTTCATTATTCTTCCACAGATTGGGGTTCTTCCGTCACCACAAGATTGCTCTGCCCTTGATTGGTCACAAGCAAGGATGCAGTTTATGGACCAGAATCTCTGTGCATGAGTTCATCATTGTCATCCATGATTTTTTATCCATCTCTAGGCCAACTCAATAATGTTCACTTACTCGGTCCAAAAGAATACAGCATACAAATGACTGAAAGCAAAGTGAGGTTTTAAGTGAGGAGTTCAGTACAATATAATTTCAAAGGCCAGTGTAATGGATTCTGAAGCATGTTGCTGTTTCTCATGAAAAAGAGGGGTGGGGTAGGTGAACTTTGGCTTTCAAACAGGCTTGAAATGCCTTTTAGTCCTTGAGCTATGCAAAATCAAAATACCTTTCTTTAGGTTTGAAATCTCTTACTTTCTGTGGGCTAGGCAAAAGACCTAAGGTTAATTTAGTTTCAGTAATTGTGGTTAGCAAACTTTCTAGTCTTACAGATTTCCCAGCCTTCAACATTGCATAAAAAAATCACTTCTTGTTATCATGACCATTTTCAGGTAGTTTGAATTTGATAGTAATAGTAGTTAGGAGACAGTACAGATTTGACTGAAGGTGAGTTTTCCATTACTGCAGTATGAAATAATGACTTATAAAAGATTTATCTTCCAAAACCCTGCAAGTATACATTGCCTTCCCTGCAGTTTTTGTATTGAGGCTTGTCACTCAAACTTAAGGTGGAACAAAACGAAGCAAATACAACAGTATCTGTATTGTGTTTTGAAAAGACATTTTCCAACCACCAGGAGGTGTTCTAACTATTGGACATCTAACAGCAAAGCCTGACCTCTCTCTCTCTATTTCCCTGCTTCCTTTCTCCCGAACGGTAGCAGCATCTGTAATACTCTTTTCTTAGGGCTGTATTCCATGCATATAGTGAATTGTTCTAATGCAGTAGTAAATGTGTTTGTTTTTAGAGCATCACAAGAGTGTTTTACTGCTTTTGCCACAACATATCAGCAGTATCATAGATCCCTGGAAAACTCAAAAGTAACATGTCTGGCCTAATGTTCAAGAGAGAGAGAGATGATTGATTGATTGATTGGCAGGCAGGCAGGCAGATCCAGCATTTCTTCCATGGAGTCAAGACAGTATATATGGTATTCTCCAATTTTTCACCACCACAACAGCTCTGGATTAGGTTAGGCAGAGTGACTGGCCAAAAGTCTCCCAGTGAGCTGCTGTGGCTGAAGGTGGATTAGAACCTGGATCTCCCCAGTCCTACTCAACGTCTTCAATACAATGACCCGCTGACCACAACAGCAATCAAACCCTGCCATTGGCTCATTTGTATTGGGTTGATGGAAACTATAGTCCAACATATCTGGTGGTAACATGTTGGAGTAGGTAATAAAATACTGCAGAAATGTTCATTAACTAGATATGTAAAAGTGATGAAGAGAAGCTTAGCTATGAAAATGTATGACACACATTTGTTATTGAAAGATTCTTCTTCATTTTTCCTACTATTTAAAGTGTCTGCATTTTGCAGTTGAGTTCCTCCACCCTTAATAATTCAGTTTTTGTGAGCATAGTTACATCTTTTCATTCAGTACTTACTGCTCTGTGCACCTTTGTGCCTATCCCCAAGAATAATGTTAGGCAGATTCAATAATAATTGCTAATTTGTTATTTAAAGATACTTAAGAGAATTCTGTTTCTGTTATAAGATACAATCAATCTATAAGCTTTGTACTATTGTTTCAAGCCTGACCTTACTTTGAGTATTACTCACAAATATCATTAAAACATTTTCAAATATTTTCTTGCTCAACATTTCTTTGTGCAACAACATAAAGTATTCTTGGTAATAAAGATGACACTGGAAGCCGATGCTGAACTTTATAACAAAACAGCCTCTCATTGAAAGACTATGTTGATTTTTTAAAAATTGAAATTGAATGGATCAAGATGTCTGGAGGGCACCAAGTTTGATATGGGGTCTTGATCTCCTAAATGAAAGGTGAGATATTAATGTACCAAATCTGCTAACAGCTGCATATCAATTGTTACAGGTATAGCTAATAAGACCAAAGGAAAAGGTAGCAACCCTCCTATTCCAGTACTTCATATGACTGATGAGAAAATGGCTTCAGTGCCATTACACATGGGTTTAGTTGATCTGGCAGCTGCAGACTAGTTCTAAATGTGGGCAATTATTTGTAATGGACAAGGTACATTGCATCTGATCTTTTTTATTCCTGGTCTGGGCATTCTTTGTACTAGATTTGATTATACCAGTGGTAAAAATGGATAGGTATAATTCTTTCACCTACGTTACTTGGAGACAATAATCTGTATTTTACCTGAAATAAAGGTTTTGATTCTGCATTTACTGTATTATGTGTGTATCTCACAACTTCCTTGTCAATGAGAAAAATGGCAGACTTTTGTGGAACAAGATGGAAATATCCAAAACAGGCTTGAAACACATTCAATATTTTCAATACATTTTTTTTTTTATTCAGAACATATGACAGATCTAGGACTATGGGAGCTGCTGATAGTCAAAGGAAATCGTACTGAGGAAGAAGGAAAAAAACAACTTGTTAAAGCATTGAGATTGCTTAGAGAGGCTTTCCTCATAAACCAAGCAGAACGGAGTTAAACATGACAGAGGGGGCCTGTTTTGCTGGTGACTTCTCCCATGTGGTGCTTCGGGTGGGCCATAAATAATTTCTGTTTCACTTCTAATTAAGACTAGACAACTTGTGACCCATTGGGACATTTCCTTACCTAAACAGAGAAACAATTACCAAGGGCAAAAAAAACTGGGAATGCGAGGGACTTGCTACTGGCTTCCCCACTGATTGTGCTTGTGGGAAGCTGCCAGGGAGCATCAGAAATCCTCCCTCTCCACATATAATATAGGCTTGTGCTATTTTCCCTCCCCTCATGACCCTCAGAAGAGCCCCTGTGAAGCCTCCCTCTCCTCACTGACCCATGGAACTGCCTGCCAGGTGGAACAACGGAAGCCACGGACTCTGAGGGAAACTGCACCCTGCTCCTCATTCCGGCATGCCCCCAAGGACCCCCTCCCTCAAGGGAGGAAGGGGGCTCACCTGTTGACTGCCGGCAGTCCTTAGCCAGCCCTACCTCGCCAGCAGGCATCCCTTGTCCTTCCCGCAACTCCCACACCCATTAAGAAATTTCAAGTTTTGGCCTTGGTTTCAAAGCAGCCAATCACCGCTCACCCATTGGGCTTTGCCACCAGCCGGTTAGGCACAGGGGCCAGAGGGAGGCAAGAAAGAGGTCAGGGATTCCCTCCCTCCCTCCCTCCCTCCCGCAGTGTGGTTTTCCAGTCCTGTTTGTTTCGTAATAAATTTGCTTTGTCCTTCAGATGCAATGAATGTCTGCTAGCATTCATGTATAGCTGGCCTCAGCTCATACACATATCACTCTTTTGAAATGGGACCAGATGCAACTTCATTAGTTGGTGTTCTTGGAGCCCTCTGCATATGCTCAGGAGCACATCCTGTAACAAGGGCTCCTGCTGAATTCAACTCCCCAGCAATTCTTTCACAGAACACTTTAAAAAGGACAAAAGGCCTGTCTTTCCTCCCAGTCTCTGGAGACTTTGTTCAAGGAGGAGTTGACATTGATCAATACTGACTTGGCTTGCGCTCATGTAAAAAGATCCTGCATGCCAAAGAGAAGGAACTGCTGAAGTAGGGCTCTTTCGCCTGCATCTCCTCGCTTTCACCTCCCTCTGAGCTCATGGCACCATCTCCCAGGCTGGAAGGGGGGAAAGGAGGAAACTGCAGGACCAGAGAGAAGGCAAGGAAAAGCATTCACAAGAGAGGCAAAGTGATACAGTTTTCAGCTGCAGGCTATTTAAACAGTGGCTCTGAACTGACCTTAATGCATGGCTGGCAAGCACACTTTCAACATCTCCACGTGCCACTTTGAGAAAAAAAAATCCCCCCCCCCCCCCGCTCTGCATCAATGCCTGGTCAGGTATCAGGATATAAGCCAATCTCGTCTTCCTTGTCTGGGTGTGAACGAGTGTCCGGCCTCCCCTGGGCAGTTTGGTCCTTTGTTTATTTGCATTTATTACTCCCAAGGTGTTCCTAAATATTTTTTCCTTCTATTTCTGCTCATCATTGTCCTCAAAACATCCTCTGTGTTTTGTTGCACCTCCTTCTTTGTTGGTAGTCCTCATTTAGCTACACAGCCAAACTGTAAGCAAGTGCTTGAGTTTCCAATTAGTATATATGAGATCTGCAGCAAATTTTGCAGTGCTAAACATTTTCCCTACAATGCTTCTATTCCCTTCCACCCACCACCCACTTTTCTTTTTAATGACCCACCAGCTTTGTGTCAGCATTTCATGGCCACTGAATACATGTAAAACATATTCTCCTGTTTTGGATTTTTCTCCTGAAGGTTTCTCTCTCCCTTAGGTTTTATTTTATTTTATATTTTATTTTATTATTATTTTATTTGTGGTACTTCTTTGCACATGTCAGTGTTTCCTTCTCTCTACATAAGTATTAGTACTGAGAGAACTGAGATCTCGCTTAGTAATAACAGTGGTGGTGGTAGATTCACCCAAGCTAATTGTTCTGAGCAATGTCAAACTCCTCTCTCTGGGGATTGAGATGATGGCCACCATGGCATCCATGGGCTGATCCTAGATCATCATTAGTCTGATCCACATTATTGGCCATGCATTAGCTCTGATTTTTAACTCAGACCAGATGACACCAGATCTGGTTCTGTAGAAGTTTTCATCAATCATTTGTCTTAGACTGACTTGTAATGCAGGGAGGCTTGGCTGATTAAGGTGGCCCACCCCAGGCACCTGATGGATCCAGAGTGCATGGGGAATTTTCCAGTAACCTGGAGGGCGGTACTGTTAGATATCTGGTTAGCCTCTATGCCTGCATGACCTGTAGACAGGAAAGGGCCATATTGAAAAATTAAAAATAATCGTGGGCCACAAAGGAATTCCTGGTGCATCAAGCAGTTCTTTAGCAGCTAGAGGAGCAGCACAGCACTAGAGCTGCTGATAGCAGTGAGGCCTGGTGATGTTGGAGGTGCTCAGCAGTGTGCATTTCAGGGTGACGGTGGTGAATTTATTGACTTTTTAAAAAAATACTGACAGGTCACACAAGGCTGCTTGGCAGGCCACATGCACCCATGGGCCATATGTTATGCAGGCCAGCTCTAAACAATGGAAGCAACTCAGGCACTTGAGTGCCTGAATGTCCTCTCCCCACCTACCAATTCTGAGAGGCGCTTTGACTTACTTAAGAGCTTCAGGAAATAAAGTGGGTGAAGTGATGGCCGGAGAGATACTAGCAGAAAATGAGATGTCAATACTATTAGACACAGATACAACCCTACATTTGAGTCTACTCAGTGGCAATCAGGATAGCAAAGCAGAATTACTTCTCTACCCTTATTGTACCTGCGGAATGCTGGCCAGCTGCACTGTTTAGAGTAGTCCAGACCATACAAGGGAAGGATGGGCAGAAGATCCACCATGGGCAGGGTGTGATCAACTGGACAGTCATTTTGTGGATAAAATCAGTTACATTTGCTCCAAGTTGAAACCCAGATGGGGAGGAGATAACACAGGAAATGTCTTGCAATGTAATTGGGGGGATGTGAGCTCTGCCACTCATGGCTAGTGAAAGTGGCATGGCAGGGAACTGGAAGTTGGTTCTGGGCTGTAGCCAATGCCTGGTTGCTGGAGGGGGAGGTTCCAGCTACTCTGAAAGAGGGCCTAGTCCACCCCATTCTCAAGGAGCCTGCTCTTGATTGAACAGTGCTGGGCAAGTAGAGAGTCACATCCAGTCTCTTCTTCTGGGGGAAGGATGTGGAGAAACTGGTAGGGTAAATACTACAGAGGGCTCATCTGGATCATCTGAACCCCTGCTAGTCGGGATTCAGGCTGGGTTATGCAATGGAAACCTCATTGGTCACTCTTATTGGTGACTTGTGATGAGGCATGGATAGTGGGAACACAGCCAACCTTATCCTGCTAGGCCTCTTGCTAGCCTTCAATAGTGTTGACCATAGCATTCTTCTGGGCTGCTGTAGAGAGTAAGGAAGATGACCCTGATGGAGAAATATGAGCTCTGTTAGCAAAACAAAGAAGGGAAAAACATATGTTAAGTCTACAACAAACAGAAAGTATGTGGAAGAGGCTCAAACACCTCCCTAATTCACATAAGTACAAGAAAGGGGAAGAGGTACAGCATAGCCAGTCTTGCAAGATTCTGTTATTATAGCCACTCTCAACAAAAGTAGTTTTAGACTTTCTGTGAGTTGAGTCACTTCTTCGTGAAATGGACGGTATCTAAATTTGAAATATAAATAAAATAAAATAAATACATTCCTGGTTTAGTCTACCTGGTGGGGCTGGCAGCTGCCTCTTAGGGTTGGGAGTTGGAGGGAGACACCATTTTGTGGTGGTTCTGCTCCTTCCTGAGTTGCAGGTCCAATTTATGGTTGCAGGAGAGGAAAGTTTGAACCATAAACTATTTAATATGAAGGGTCTTGAGCCTGTTTTTTTCTTCCATCCTGTTTAACATATACATGAAGCTGCTGGGAAAAATCATTTGTTGGCACAGAGTAATGTATCTTCAATATCTATATATCTCCATCCTGGACCAAATTGGAGACTCCTTACTCAGTGCCTGAAATTCTCAGTGCCTAGTTGGAGAGAGGCAGACTCAAACTCAACCTAAGAAACCTGGAGTGGTTGTTGGTTCAGTAGCTAACTGGTTTTGGGGTGATATCAACTTTGACTCATCATGCAGTTATGCTTTCTCTGAAAAAAAGGATTATAATCTGGAGTCCTCCTCAACTCTTAGTTCCTGCTGGAGGAACAGATGGAAACCTTGGGCAGGAGAGCTTTGCCCAGCTTCAGCAGGTATGTCAGCTGTGCCCTTAACTAGAGCAGGATGCTTTGAAGAAGGCCACTCATGCCTTTTTCACTTTGTGCTGGATTACTGTAATTACTTTAATTTACTCTACATTGGGCTGCCCTTGAAGACCAGGCAGAAACTCCAACTGGTGAAAATGAAGGTGCTCATATGATACCACACAATCGTAATATTGTCAAACGATCCTGCTGTTGTGGGACCTGTTTTGATTACTGGTTTATTTCCAACTGCAATTCAAGGTCCTGGTTATTACCTACTGTATAAAGTCTATAAGTCTTCAGTTCTTAATTCTGGATATCTTAGAGATCACGTATTCCAAGTAATTTCTGCCCACCTGACCTGGGTGAATATTGAACACCTGCTGAAGAGCCCTCCTATCAAAGGTATGATGGGACAAGACACAGAGGCAGATGTTTTCCTTGGCTTCTCCCCTCCTTTGGAACAGCTTACTGTACCTCCTCAAAGAAAAGTGCCTCTAGTCTTATGTCTTCACAGAAAATGGCTCATATCTGGCTTTGATGATTAAGTAGCTAGTTAGAAGAAGATCTGTACCATTATGGTTCCTGTTCATGATCT